GCCCAGGCTCAGGCTCTTCTCAGAGGGTTCCCAAATGTGGAAGGGATTCAGGGCATCCCGCATTCCACCCTACCAGGGGCCCAGTGTCCTTGGGCTGCCCTGATCCCTTGGGTCACCAGGGGAAATGGATCTGAACAGCGAACAAAGCTCGGCAGTGTCTTGGCCGATTGTGTGGCTAAACTGGCCGAGTTGTGACTGGAGCAGCTTGCGGAAGAGAGGCAGCAGTGGTCAGCTTCCCTGGTCACTTGTGTACTGACCCTGACCAGCCTGCCCTCTGTGAGCACAGTCCAGCCCCACTGCACAGTACCCCCTTGCCCACTGTCTCCTGAGCCCTGAAACTGTGCTAGGTGGGCACACAGTGCTAAGCAGTTTACAGAGCTGTACTCCTGTTCCCGGCTCCCAGTCCCCCAGCCCTGGGAAGTACAGCCAAGCCCTGTCTTGGGGAGGAGGGTACACCATGTTTCTGATCCTCTGGGCCGGAGAAGAAAAGGGAACTGGAGGACTAGGGAGGTCGCTGCCTGTCCCCCTCGGGAGCCTGACAGTGTATCCGGCCGTGACCCTGTTTTCTTTCCACCCAGGAGAGTTCGGGGAAGTGTATCGGGGGTCCCTGAGACTCCCCAGCCAGGATTGCAAGATTGTGGCTATTAAGACCTTGAAAGACACATCTCCCGATGGCCAGTGGTGGAACTTCCTTCGAGAGGCGACTATCATGGGCCAGTTCAACCACCCACACATTCTGCACCTGGAAGGCGTGGTCACAAAGAGTATGAGGGTTGGGACCCAAGAGAGAGTGCAGGGGCTGGGGGAGGGGGGTGGGAGAAGAGGGCTGAGACCACCGGAAGTGGAGGGAGGCTGTGCTGTCAGAGGCAGGAAGTGTGGTTCTGGGTGGAGACGGGGTGGAGGCTGCTGGGGTGATGTGTGCTTTATGTCTCAGGAAAACCCATCATGATCATCACGGAGTTTATGGAGAATGGAGCCTTGGATGCCTTCCTAAGGGTGAGGAGGGTACAGGACCAGCTGGGAAGGGGGACTGGCCACAGAGCCCCACCTGGGCATGGACCCCAGCTCTGGGAAGAGGAGACCCAGCCTGGCCCCTGACTTCGCCCACTCCCTGCTGCAGGAGCGGGAGGACCAGCTAGTGCCTGGGCAGCTGGTGACCATGCTGCAGGGCATAGCGTCTGGCATGAACTACCTCAGTGACCACAATTACGTCCACCGGGACCTGGCCGCCAGGAACATCTTGGTGAGTCAGAACCTGTGCTGCAAAGTGTCTGACTTTGGCCTGACCCGCCTCCTGGACAACTTTGATGGCACCTATGAAACCCAGGTGAGAGCCTTATACACCTATCACATACACATCCACACCCACAACTACACGCTGTACATACAGCCGTCAGTACATACAGAGCAGGCATGCTCATGGGGACACGGTAGCTTCCCATGCCCTTTGGTGCTGAGACTCCTCAGCTTTCTGCCCCACATGCCCCATTAGGGAGGGAAGATCCCCATCCGTTGGACAGCCCCCGAAGCCATCGCCCACCGGATCTTCACCACGGCCAGCGATGTGTGGAGCTTTGGGATCGTGATGTGGGAAGTGCTCAGCTTCGGGGACAAGCCCTACGGGGAGATGAGCAATCAGGAGGTGAGCCTGGTGTTTCTCACACCTCCTGGCCCCTCCCCAAATCCTCCACAGCCCTTTCTTGCAAATACCCCGATTTCTTCTTTCTGCCCCTTTATCTGCATTCCTAACCTCTCTGGTCCCCTTCACCTCACGCCCTGTTGTCTTGACCACGCCCACCCTGGTCAGGGGTTCAGAGGCTCGGTGGCAATGATCTGTGTGCACAGAGATATTCCTGCTGGGCTGCCGGGCTAGCTTCCTGCCCCGCTCCTCGCTGCAGGTAATGAAGAGCATTGAGGACGGGTACCGGCTGCCCCCTCCCGTGGACTGCCCCGCCCCCCTCTATGAACTCATGAAGAACTGCTGGGCCTACGACCGCGCCCGCCGGCCCCCCTTCCACCGCCTGAAGGCACAGCTGGAGCATCTGCACGCCAACCCCCACTCCCTGCGAACCATTGCCAACTTTGATCCCAGGTAACCACATGGCACCCCACTGCAGTACTCTTGCCTGGAAAATCCCATGGACAGAGGAGCCTGGTAGGCTGCAGTCCACAGGGTCGCTAAGAGTCAGACACGACTGAGTGACTTCACTTTCACTTTTCACTTTCATGCATTGGAGAAGGAAATGGCAGCCCACTCCAGTGTTCTTGCCTGGAGGATCCCAGGGGCGAGGGAGCCTGGTGGGCTGCCGTCTGTGGGGTCACACAGAGTCAGACAGGACTGAAGCGACTTAGCAGCAGCAGCAGCGGCGGCGGCAACCACCCTGGGTGGGGTGGGCAGGCCTGGGAGAATGGAAACGGGCAGCCGTCACATGCACCAAGCGCCGGGCCCGTGGAGCTCCCAAGAGTCAGGCATAGACACAGGATTCCAGTGTGCACTTTGAGAAGAGCCTGCTCTGACGGAGGAGGTACAGTGTCTCAGCCTTGATAGCTCTAGTTTGATGGAGGCTTCCCTGGTGGTTCAGGTGGCAAAGAATCTGCCTGCCAATGCAGGAGACCTGGGTTTGATCCCTGGGTTGGGGGTGTCCCGTGGAGGAGGGCGTGGCAACCCACTCCAGTATTCTTGCCTGGAGAATCCTCATGGGCAGAGGAGCCTGGTGGGCTACAGTCCACAGGGTTGCAAAGAGTCGGACACGACTGAGCGACTCAGCCCAGCACAGAAAGCCAGCACGCGGAGAAAGCAAGTATATGCAAGCGGCTGCCAACCTGCTACCTGCTCCAGGGCGCTTGGTCCCTGAGAATGGGGAAGGGAAGACAGAGAAACTGACAAGAGCCAGCCGGAGGTGTGTGTCCTGACTGAGAGGGGCAAACTTGTGGGGTCTGGGAAGGCTCCCAGCTCACGTAGCCAGCAAGGCTTAGGGAGCTGAGGGTGTGCCAGTTGCAAATAATGCAGGGTGCAGAGAAGTTTGGACTTGATTCTGACCAATTTTTTTTTTTCTTTCAAACTGTCCATGGGAGGGACATGGTCAGAATTGCATTTTACTGAAAACATTGCCAGAATACAGAGAATCAACTGGTTGTGGGGGTGAAATGGGAGAGACGGGCACGGCTTCAAATGCTTTATCGGGTAAAGCAACTCTGGTGTGCTGGCCTCTGTATCAGACCGCCATATATAACCTTGTTTCTGGGAGAAAACGTGCTCCCAGTTCCAACTTTTGAAACTATCTTTTTGGAGCACAACTCCCTCGTGCACTGGAGACCGCATGTGCTAATCTTTCTGGAATGTTGGATATTTTTCCCCCAGCAGATTTACTTTGCTAATGGTTTTTGGCCCCGGCTGGCTTCAGGACAGGAACACTCATTGTATTGTGGGGGGGGGGGGGGGGGTCAGAGTGCAAGAATAACAGCTGAGGTTGGAGGTGGCAAGCAGGGGGCTGCTCCCAGAACTCCCAGGGGCCACCCTGAGAAAAGGCAAAGCCACATCCACCTTCCGGGGCCTCTGTTCTCCTCCTCCTCCTGCGTCCTCTCAGCTGGGATACTTAATCCTCGTGTCTTAGCCGGCCCCCATCAGTTGCCCAGAGCAGGCCACTGCAGTGCAGGCGGGCCGGTGGTCCCTTCGGTCTAGACCTCCAAGGCTGCCTCTTGTCCCCAGGTCTGTCAGTGCTGCAGGACTGTCCGCCTGCCCCGTGGCTGTTGCCAGGCAACAGGCCAGGAAATGGGTTCAGAGACAATGGCCAGGCTAACCCGCAAAGTCCAGATAATCTCTGTGTCAGACGCCCGGCTTGCAGGCCAGCGCACAGGCACGGAGGCTGAGCCCCGGTTTCAGGAAAGCCCTGCATCTCCCATCGCGTGCGACTGAGGGGTCCCCCCCACACCCCACAGGGTAACCCTTCGCCTGCCCAGCTTGAGTGGCTCTGACGGGATCCCCTACCGAAGTGTGGCTGAGTGGCTGGAGTCCATCCGAATGAAGCGCTACATCCTGCACTTCCGCTCCGCTGGGCTGGACACTATGGAGTGCGTGCTGGACCTGACGGCCGAGTGAGGACCCTGGGGGCCTGGGCAGGGCAGGGCCGCTGGGGATCGAGCCCCGGGACTCACCGAGCCCCTCTCCTTGCCCACAGGGACCTGGCGCAGATGGGGATCACCCTCCCAGGACACCAGAAGCGCATTCTTTACAGTATTCAGGGCTTCAAGGACTGAGCCTTCCCCTCCCCAACCCTGTCCTCAGGGAGCAAGGATGGGACCCAGGTCCCTCGACCTGCCAGACACAGGACGTCGGTGCTGCTCCTGCTTGCCCTTCCCGAGGAACTGCCTCTGAAGTTCTCTGAAGTCTCTTTGTTTTAAAAAGGGAGGTGGGGTAGAAGTTAAAAAGTGAATTGTGGGAGTTGGGGGAGGGCTTAATATATATTATATACATATACATATATATTTTTGTAAATAAACAGAAACTTCTCCCCAGGTTGTTGTTTCTTTTAATCCATCTTCTCCATCTCGGGCTTCCCAGGGGCTCAGTGGTAAAGAATCCACCTGCCAATGCAGGAAACATGGGTTCAACCCCTGGATCTGGGAGATCCCCCTGGAGGAGGGCATGGCAACCCACTCCAGTGTTCTTGCCTGGAGAATCCCATGGACAGAGGGGCCTGGCGGGCTGCAGTCCATGGGCTCACAGACTCAGACACACCTTAGCGACAAAGAGTCTGCCTGCAATGAGGGAGACCTGGGTTCGATCCCTGGATCAGGGAGATCCCCTGGAGAAGGAAATGGCTACCCACTCTAGTCTTCTTGCCTGGGAAATTCCATGGACAGAGAAGCCTGGCAGGTACAGTCCATGGGGTCACAAAGAGTCAGTCGACACGACTGAGCGGTTAAACATCTCCATCTCATCGTCTAGGGCTGTAGGTACAAAAAAGTCAACTACTAAGCTTTCTGGAAAACACTGTCTTTTATTTATTGTGTAGCCACAACCTGGCAGCACGGGGGCTGGGGCTGGGGGGTGGGGGAATGTCCAGGCTGGTGAGCCCAGCCCAGCCTCCCAGAAGGCCGGGTGCGGGCATCTCCTGGCCCTTAGCAAGCAGAGGACAGGGCTGCTCAAGGGCAGGCCAAGGGCGTCGGTGCAGCAGTGCAAGCAGCAGTGCTCGGCCCGGTGCACCCTCAGGCGGGGTTACCTGGACGATGGTGGGTGGTCCCTGCAGGATTCGGGGGGACTGGACCCCAGGGTTGGGACTCTGCAGCCCCGAGGCCACATGGGGGCCCTGGATCAGGGCAGGAGGGAGACTGGGGTGGGGTTTGGTATGAAGGGAGGGACTGGACGTCGAAAAATAACTGTGGGGAGGGTGAAGAGGAGGTGGTCTCATCGTGGGCAGTCCGCTGATGGGGGAATGGACTTGCAGTCTGAGAAAGGGGCCAGTCCTCACTCAGTCTAGGCTCTGGCGGTGTGGCATTTCCGGCAGAGCACGTGGCCATCCAAGGGGAAGCAGCCGTTGTCATCCGCCTCAATGGAGAGGGGCTTCCCACAGTCCTGAGAGGAGCAGAGAGAGTGCGCTGGCCGGGAGGGCCACCACCCACGCGCCCCACCTCCATCTTTACATCGGCAGGCCGGACACTTCACGGCTCAGCCCTGTTCTCTCTGCATCGGCCCAGCCACAGCTGCCCCCAGCTCCCATCCCCACCCCTCTCACCCACACTTTTGTCCCCGAGGACTCTCCCCCAGGATGGGCAGTGGTTGCTTCCAGTGGGGCATCTCCCACCTGCCTCACCTCTCTTCCGACTCCTTTAACCTCGCAGGGACCCCCAACCTCCCACAACAAAGCCACACCCTTCCCTCCTGGGGGTCGGGCCCCTTTCCTCTCTGTATCACTCAGTGACCTCAGAGAACCCCACGCCGCCATCCTGAAGCCAAGGATGCATCTTCGCGGGGCGGGTGTGGGCGCCGCCACTGCCCACCCTCAAATTGCAGCACCCAGGTCCTGCAAGCTAGCACCGTCCACCGCCTAACCCGTGAGCAGTGTCCCACCAACCTCCCATCCCCGAGGGGTTCGGGGCGGGGGGTGCAGCCGACCTCGCACTTGTAGCACTTCATGTGGAAGTTCTTGTCCAGAGCGACCACGCGCACGGTCTCCTCGCGCCCAGGCTCCGGCATGATGGGCTCTGCACAGACAGAACACCTGGGGGCGTATTGCCTGCGGGGCGCAACGCCGGAGAGCGTCAGGACAGGGCGCCAGGCGCTGACCTACCCCAAGCACAAGGAAATGAGAAGGCAGACTGCTTTGTACATCTTGCCCCACAAGCCTCGGTGGAGGAGGCTCAAAAGAAAGGCTGAAGGCTGGCTGCCGTACCTGGTCTTCATCGGGAACGTCCCACCTCTCCCCACCCCCACCATGCGCACTGCAGCCCCTGCCCAAAGCACTCCCAGAGGACCCCAACCCAGACCCCCAGCCCTCGCTAAACCCCCATCATGCGGGCGCCTCGGCCCGGTCCCTGGGGCTGGGGGGGTTGGACCCAGAGGGATACCGAGCCCTGGAAACCTACACCCCACTCACACTCAGAGGTGGGGGTCTGAGCTTACAGCTTTCTGGTCCTTTGGCTCCATCATCGGAACCTTGCCAATGGCCTCAGCAAGTAGCTCCCTTGTAAACAATGTTTCTAAGGGGAAACCCTGAGCTCCAAACAGCTGATCTCCAAAGGCGCTCTGAGAAAGGAGCCTACGTGCGAAATAGTCACTAAGGTCTAGCGCTGAACACAAGACCACACCGGAAAGAAACCTCAGAGAGCGAGACCCAGGCTGGGGAAGGGGACGGGCCGGCAGGCCAAAGGCCACCGGACAGCCACGTCACGATGACCCGGTCCCTGCTATCCACAGACAGGAGGTGGGGACGGCAAGCAAGCCCAAAAGACGGAAGAGCGGTCTTGGGGCTGAGGGCAGCCTGGCTCCCAGACAGACGAACCATCGCTGGCACCCAGAGAAGGGCCCGGAGGTGGGCGGGGGTCCTCACTTGTGGTAGTCGGGGACGCAGTGGGGCCGGTTGGCCTGGTCCACGATGAAGGAGGTGCCCTCCAGGGGGCAGGCGCAGACCACACAGGTGAAGCACTGCGGGTGGTAGGCCTTGCCCGTGGCCCTCAGCATGCGGTCAGTGATCGGCTGCCCACAGGTGTTGCACTTCTCCAGAGTGTCCTGCGGAGGCGGGGTGGGAGGGTGGTAGCAGCTGGAGGTTGGCAGGGAACCGGCACCCGAGGGCCAGCTGTCTGCCCCGTGCCTGCCCTGACCCCCCGACCCTGGGACTCACGGTGTAGCAGCCCTCGCAGTACGGAGCCCCCTCCAGGCTGTAGAACTGCTGGCCTTGGAGCTGCTGCTCACACTGACGGCAGGTGAAGCAGGTGATGTGGAAGAGCTGCCCCAGAGCGCGAACCGCGGGCTGCGAACGGGCCAGGGGCTGGTGACACCGGCCACAGGACTCTGGAGAGGCCGGAGACGATGGAGGTCAAACAGGAGAAAGGGCAAAAAAAGAGCTCGCGAGGGGTCGGCTGGCATCAGACAGATGAGGCCGGGAGCCGCAGGCCTGGGAACAGCCCGGAAATGGAGGGGCCGTCCCTCCAGGCGGGGCGGTGGGTCCTCACCGTTGACGGGCACGCTCTGCTTCTGAGGATGCTCCATGTCCTGCATCAGCTTCTGTGTCAGCTGCTCCAGCTCCTCCACCTCTTTCAGTGTCAGAGGCCCTGGGGCCCCACCGGGGCGCACCTGAAATCCCAACACTTTCTTCAAACCCTCTCTCTCTCTCTCAAGGGTCACCGCCCTCCAAGAACCCACCCCAGCTGGCTTCTCTGATTTCTCCCCGAAAAGGACGAATCCCACCCCCCACCCCGTCTCCTGTTTTCCAGATACTCAGGTTGGTGGGACCCCCAAAAGCTCCTCAACCTCCCTCCCTGACCCCCCCAAGCACCACACAAATCAGGGGACGAGGATGACCCTGCCACCCGCTTTGCCCGCACACACAGACAGGCCGGAACGACTGAGCGGACGGAGGCCACACACACAGCAACTCGGGTCACGGAAGCGCCAAGCACCCAGGCCACGCGTCAGCCCCACAGAGCATGCTGGGCCACGGCCCCCATGGAGAGCCCGGCGCGCGGTGGCGGGGGCAGCCCCGCGCACACACACCTACCCGTCCCGCCGGCTGCCCGGCAGCCCCTGTCAGCGTGAGGGTACAACACAGCGGGAGTCAGGTTAAACCCCAGTGCCGTCTGCAGGAGCCCAGCCCCCAGCTCCCACGCAGAGGTCCCAGGGTCCCTTCATAGAGGGGGGTCCTGGACCACCCGACTGACCCCAGGCCCTCCCCAGGAGGCTTCAGAGCAGGGCCACTATCCAGTGGCCCCTCTCCGGCCAGCCCGCCCCTCCTGTTCAGGGGCGTCCTGAGACAGCTGCAGATTGGGGGTGGGGGTGAAGTTGGGAGGTCGGCAGTGCCAGTAACCCTGAGACATCCCGGGAGGAGGCCCCATGGGGGCTGTTTGACCTATAGGACCATCTCCATGACATGGTCCCCCAGGAATGCTGAGTTGGTCTCCATTGCTAAGTCCACCCAGGACTGGGGCCCCACCACTGAACGCTCTACCTGCCAACGCCTTCAGTCCCTGACACGGGGAATCTCAAAGCCACCCTGTTCCTGTGGTCACCTTGCCCCCAGCCCTGGCTCCATCACCTTCACACCTGTCTGCATCAAGAGCTGCATCCACTACAGACGTTCCAGCTCTCAGCCATTTTCCCCGGCCTCCTCCTGTCTTTAACTGACAGTGGGAGTCTCCTGCAAGCCCCTTCTTCTACGTAAGCTTCAACTTTTCCGCTCCCAGTCTTTCCCTTCTGGCATCTTGGGGACAGAGGAATGAGGACACACCCAGCCCTCTCTGGTGCCACTTAAATGCCTCTTCCGTTCTTTGGAAGTATGAACTATTCCGATATCGGCTCCCCTTGGGTATCCACACTCCATGACACAATCCAGCTGCTGTTTCCCCCCTCTCTCTGCCTGCCAGCACCAACTTTCCACGTTCAACATGCGTGGCACTCACGCCTCTTCAGCTCCAACAGCTCCAAACATCCCTCTGGTTCAGTCACCTTCCACGGTGGGACCCCTCGGACCTGAGATTTACCGGTTGCCACCTCCAAGATTCTGGGCTCAACCTCCCAACCATCACCTCCTCCCCATTTCCCATTCTCACCCCTTGAAGGAACCTGCTCAGAAAAGCCTTGGCACCTCTGACTCCCAACCCTCTCCCACATGCCTTCTGCATCCGCTCCCTTCCGTCTGGCCTCCCCGCAGGCCTGGTTCCCTTGACCACTGACTTCCACAAGGCTCTCACAGCCACCCTGGCCACCAGTCAACTACCGTCCCTTATCTAGTCCGATCTCAATCAACCCTGGGCCCACGCCACCGCCCGCTTCCTGTTTCTGCCTCCCAGCTGCAGAAAGTAGGTGGGGAGACTGCAGAGGGAGTTCACCAAACACTGCGGGGCCCTCCGCACCCTCCATCCAGGCGCGGCTGGCTGGCATTTGGCTGCTGCGGGTTCCCAGTCTCGCCTGCCCCAGAGCAGCTGTTCCAAACCTTTCCATCGCCTCCAGCCCCCCACGGCTTTGCCCCCTCGCTCTCAGATGACCTCACCTCCTACGTGACCCAGGAGCTGGAAGCCCGCCATCCCAAGCTCCCTCATCACAAAAGCCTGCTTGCAGCCACCCTGTCCAAGGTCTCTGGGCTGGAAATGCCCCGAGGGTGGAGTTGGCACCAACAGTGCACCCAGCTCTCAGGGACCCCAAGCCCTCTCTTCCACGGACTTCTTCCTCCTGGTTCACACACACACACCTGAGCCTTCCTCCCCTAACGTCAACCCTATACACACAGACCACATACACACACACACGCACACACACACGTCTTCCCTCCGTGTTCCCCTGCCAACCTCTGAGAACAGGCTACTTGGGCAACTCCCAAGTTTCTCACCACCCACTCACTCCTTCACTGCCCCTCAAAAGGACACAGCTTCTGAATCCTGAACCGCCTAATCCCTGGCCTTACATTAGCCCTCATCCCCCTCGAAGCCACGCTGAAGGGGCCCCTCGGCCACCATTCTCTTTTAGAAATGCCACCCTGACCCGTGACTCTCCTCCTCCTTCTGCCATCCTTCCGACTCCTCCCAGGCACACAGGAGCATCCCCCAGGTTTCTTCCCAGCCTCCCGGTGTGAGCAGCCTCTGGGAGGCGGTTTTCACCGCACTCGACCGCCATGCGTGCACACACCTCTCGTCTGGCCCCCTCCTGCTACCTGGCCCCCTCCTGCTACCCGCCCCCCCATTTCTGACTGAATGACAGTTCCAGCTGAAAGGAGATCCTCCTGGAACCTGTTGCTCAACATGCTGACAGCCGGACCCTCCCCTTCCCGTCCACACCATTTCCCCTTCTGGACTTCTCTATTTTGTCAGCAACTCTGTCATTCCCCAACACATCCGGGTGTTTTTTTTTTTTTTCTTCAACTCCTATCCCATCCTCTTCCAACTGCTTATCAGCTAATGAGCCTGAAGGTGCTTCCTTTGTAAGAGCTCTCTGATCTGGGCCTTATTTTTCATTTCTGCCAATGTTACTGTCACCCAGGAGTGCACCCCGACGCGTCACTGACCTCCCACGTCTAATCCACACCTCTGCTGGAAAAACTTTCCCCCAAACCTCCTGACGCAGCCACACCTCTACTCAGACAACATTCCTGCCTCTCCAGGACCCCCAGGCTCTCTAGGTGCACTATTTCATCCCCACTGCCTCCTCAAGGCCCCACCCACCTCTCTAAGTGTAGCTCTACAATTTCCCCCCAGGGGCCTTCTACTTTCTGTCCTCCAGACACCCCTGGTGTATCTGTGCCCTTGAGTTTTGCTCAGGCTGTTCCCACTGGAATGCCCTTCCCTCTCCTCTCTAGATTCTTAAATCCTGCCATCGTTAAAGGCACACCAGCACCCTGATGCCTTTTCCTAATGTGCCAACCTCCACACTGGCTCCCTGTTTGGAGTTCCTGTAACAACGGAATTCTGCAAAACTCATTGGCACTTGGCATCTCTTCCTACAGTGTCTTGCACACACACACACACACACACACACACAGAAATCCATGCTGTCAGTTAACTCCATGGTTGTTTGGACCAAATATCTGGCAAGATCCCTTCAACCCAGGCGATTAGTCTCCTGAACTGGAAGGTGGGAATGGTCAGACAGGAGTGATAACTTTTCTACCTTGAGCATTCACGCGCTCGATACAGACCCCCAGGATCAGCTCTGGCTCACGTAATCCTCACAACCATTGTGAAGGTAGATGACGAACCGAGGCTCAAAGTTCACCTAACTTGACTGGGGTCTTGTGAGCGAGGAATTCTGTAACAGGTCCACTGACTTCCTTAGGCTCAAGCTCTTTGAGGTCTCTTCCCTCCCGAGTACAGAGCACAGTGCCTGGCACGGAGGAGCAGTAGCTGGCTGCCTCAGCCAATGTTTACCAGTGTTTATTGCCAGTGGCTCTTATCACCAGATGGGCCCTCGGGCAGGGAAAGTACGTAGAAGAGCAGAGATTAACTCAAGAATCCAAGAAAGGGGAAGATCTGAAGTTTGACTGCTGATGATCTCATCCTTCTCTTTAATTTTCTGGGGCAGGGCAAAGGGGAAGGTACACCAGATCCTCCCCCTAACTCAGAGTCGGTGCTGCTCACCTTACTCCCAGTCAGGCCCCACCCAGACTCAGACCCTGCCAGGCTCTCCCCCAGAAGCGCTTTCTCCACCATCCAACCCTAGAGGCTGAAAACGATCCCACCACCCCACACTCCACTCAGGCTCAGGATCCTGGACTTAGCTCTGCCTCCAGGCCCCAGGGCTCAGCCCGGTCTTCCTGCCTCCCTGGCCTCCAGCCCCCAGGGAATCAGCCCAGTCTCCCTGCAACCCTCACCTGGTTTTGGTTTTGAGTCGGTGGCGGCACTGGATGCTGTTTCTCCTGCACTTGGGGCTTCTCCTTCTGCTGAGCATAGGTAAAGCCGGGGGGCTGAGGGGAGCCTGTGCCAGTGGAAGAGGGAGCTTCAGGGGGCCCCAACTTCTGATGGGGCTGGGACCCAAGTCCACCTGGGGCTCCAGGGCTGAACTTGGAAGCCACAGGGGTAAACTTGGGAGTCACCGGAGAAAATTTAGGGGCTGGAGGTGAGGCTGGGGGCCCCCGAGGCTGGGTGGTGGCCAAAGGCACAGGCTGGGGGGGTGCCTGGGGCTTGGCCTGGGGCTGAGACTGGACATGGAATGGTGTCTGGCTCTGAGGCTGAGCCTGGGACACAGGCTGGGAGCTAGAAGGGGACTTCCAGGGAGGCAGGGGTGCTGTGCCCCCAGTTGCAGGCTTAGTATTGGACTTGGAAATGAATGGAGTAGTGACCGGTGGGGGTACATATCCAGATGATACCTGCGAGGGAAGGCAGAGGAGAGAGAAGTGCCTTAGAGGAGGCTGTGGCCCTCGGCGTGAGTTCCAGCCCGGCGCCCTTCCTCACTGCCCTGACTTCCTTGCTCTCCTGCTCCTTACCCGGGCTTTGAAGGGATCGTTCTTGGTCATGTCATCCAGCAGCGAAGACAGTGAGTCGATCTCCAGATCAATACTGCTCACCTTCTCCCTGGGCTAAAGGGGCAGGGGTCAGAGCGCCCCATCCCAGTTACCCACCGCCACCCCGTCCTCTCGGAGGGCAGAGATGCCGCCAAGGTCGGCGGGAAAGGACCCTCCTTCTCCTTCCCTGGGGATGTGACCGCAGTAGCTGCCCCTCCAGGGCCTCCGTACCTGCGATGGGAGCTGGGTGGGGGCCTCAGGACTTCCCTCCTCCACTAGCGGGGGCGGTGGGGAAGGGAAGATCTCCTCGTCCAAAGGCGCGGGGGGAAACGGTTCCTCGATCGGGGGCGGCGGAGGTGGGAAGGCACCTCCCAGGGCGCCCTCGGCGTCATCTGCCTCCCCGACCACCGGAGGAGGCGGTAAGGGAAAGTCTGGGGTTGGAAGGAGACGGAGGGCGGTCAGCAGGGGCCCGCCGACCCTTCGTCAAGTTCCCCTCCTTGAAGAAGCTGTTCTAACCCCTAACCTCTAACCCAAGAAGTCTCTCGAGGGTCGTGAAGCGCACAAGAAAGAAAGTAAAGGCGGGGGAGTGCTCGCAGGGCGCCCTGAGAGCCTCGGGTCAGGAAAGAAGGGGTGCATCTCCCATTTCACTTCGGAAAACGGACCCAGAGGGGAACATTCGCGCCCCACATTCCCGCCTCCCACCCCCAGGCGGGGAGACTTGGAACTGTCCCAGGAGCCCTGGCTCCCAGCCACGAGCTCCGCGATGAGCTAAGAACATCTGCTCGGGACTGGGTGTCGGAGCCCAGCCCCCTCCACCGCAACCTTTCCAGACATCCCCCGAATTCCCGAAACCACTCCCCACTTAGGCCGGAGCCCGCCGAGGTCCAGCCCCCAAGCCCGGCCACCTACCTTCTGGGGGCGGCGGGGGGATCTCGCCCACCCGGCCCATCTGTGCGCGCTGGGCCCCAGCGGCCGGAGGCGGCTCGCTGTCGCCGGGCCGGAAAGGGTTCACTTTGGGCTTCGGGGCCACCACCGGGGCGAACTTCTTCTGCGGGGCGTAAAACACCGGAGCCGAGACGGAGATCGCGCGAGGCGGGCGGGGGGCCGCCATGGCCAGGCCGGGCTGCGGGGGGTGGAGGGGGGAGCCGGGGTTACGCCGCGCCGAGCCGGGCTGAGGACCGACCGCCGCCCCCCGGCCCGGCTCCCCTCCGCGCCCCCGCGCCCCGACCCCGTGGGCGGCCGCCGGGCGACTCCCCGCGCCTCACCGCGGGCCGGAGCGTGCGCGCCGCGTCTGCCGGGGGCCGCCTCGCAGCCGAGTCCGCGGACTCTGCGTCCCGGTCCAGCCGGGCGGGGAGGGACGCAGGGAAGACGGAGGGAGGGAGAGGGCGGGGAGAGCGCGGCGCGCAGACCATACAAGGAGCGGCCCGGAGAGGGGGCGGGGAGAGGCGGGGAGGTGGCCGCGGCGGGAAACTCCCCCAGGAAGAGGCCCAGCTCCGGCCCCGGGACCGCGGGCTTCGCCGAGGTCCTCCCGCCCCCGCTCCCAGCCCCCGACCCGGCCCCCACCCCTCCAGGCGGGCCCCTCCGGCCCCGCCGCCCCGGCCGGGCGCAGACCACCCCCTCCCCAAACACAGGCCTCTGATGTCATTTCCTGACTTGCCCTCCTTCCCCGCCCGACCCGCGGGTGCCCGAGATCTGACTCACCGTCCTACTCCGGGCTAAGCCGGCGGAGGTCGGGCGGGTGCCCCAGAGGTGCTCAAGCGGCCCGGGGGCGCCTCCGAACCGGCCCGGCCCCTTCCTCGCCCGGCCTGCCGTTACCTGCCACCTCCAGCTGTTCCTCCGCCTTCCTACCCAGCCACCAGCCCCGCGCCCCAAATCCCCTCCGGCACAGCCCACACTGGCAGGACTGGGATGGGACTGGCCTTCTAGGTGGACAGGGAGAGGCGTTCTCCCTGCCTTCGTCCACCCCCACCCCCACCCCAGGCCCTCTGTGACTTGGGGTGGGGGTGGGGGGCGGAGAGGTGAGTGCGCACCTCAGCGACCCTTTGGGGGATCCTAACTTAAGAGCCCGGGCAGCTACTTAAGCTTCTAGGAATTCGCATCACCCGCGCCCCCGCCAGCGGATCGGAGTCGAGGCGGGCGAGGCCTGGCCGTGGAGGTGGGGGGAGCGGGTCGGAGGCGCGGGCGGCCCCCGCACACTTGGGACTGGGAGCACAGGTGTGGACGCGGGCGACTCCTCTTCGCCCGTTCTTCAGCGCCCACCAGGACCGACCCTCTAAGAAGCTGTGCTTGGTGGGGCGGCCCTCGGGGGATTCACAGACTGCGCTCGGTGGAGCCCCCCATTGGTCCGACGGGATTTCTCAGCCTTCTTGTGCCCCAGGTCCTGGGAAAGGGACAGACCTGGGTTCATTCTTTTTTCTTTCCAACTGAACGTGGAAACTTAACCAGATCGCCAGCTGAATTCTACCACCCTCACTACCTGCAAACGGGATTCGGGAGGCGCTTTGGCTTGCAGGTCCAGTGCCTCACCCTGGACGCTGTGTTCCCAGCCTTTACTGCCATCTAAGGCAGTCCCCGTCTGCACACGCCACTCAGTATGGACAGTCCCTGGCCCTCCCTACTGTCAGCCAGCCTCTGGGCTACACTCTAGAGATTGTCCAGACTCACCTCTTACATTTACTGTGAGAAAACAGGCTGGGAACTTAAGACTTCGGCCCAGGGTCATGTCCAGTAGGCTGCAGGAGCTAGACTAGAACTGGGTCTCTTTGAGGGCTCTGATGTCTGATCTTATTCCTCACCACTATCTCCAGGTGGGGTAACCCTGGATACAGGAGAGCAGAATGAGGCCATGGGGCTGAGACCCAGCTGGAGGGCCCCAACTAAGGGACAAGTCTTTTCCTTCTCTTCACATAATTTTCTCCACGAAAAAAAAAAAGAGTGATGATACTTAATCCCAGCACTCATTGCATTACACCACTGAAGCAATTTAGCACAGCACAGCATGCATTGTATTATATGGAAGTGAAAGTGAAGGTGTTAGTTGCTCTGTCATGTCCAACTGAGACCCTATGTACTGTAGGCTGCCAGTCTCCTCTGTCCATGGAATTCTCCAGGCAAGAATACTGGAGTGGGTAGCCATTCCCTTCTCCAGGGGATCTACCTGACCCAGGGATCAAACCGGGGTCTCCTGCATTGCAGGCAGATTCTTTACTGTCTGAGCCACCGGGAGAGCCCGTTATATGGGAAAATAAATATATCTGAAAGTGCTGTATAATACCCAGTATTTTTATGCAAGTCCCAGTTCTGACAGGTTACTTTAACGCCATTTCCCCCATAGGTCCCCTTCCAGGTTGCCAGGGACATCTCTCATGGGCCTTGGTATGTGCATGCCTTCACCTTCCTTCAGTCTTATCAAATATTTGATTCTACCTAAGGACTACATCTTTGTCTCCTGGGATCCCACCGATGGTTCTTTTCTCAGTTGTCACTGGTATTCCTCACAGCCACAGGCATGTGTAGCCATGTATAATATAAGCATGCAGCGCAGACCTTCTCTGACCAGCATAAGCTGGTCCTGGCCTGTCCCTGTGAAGATTTGCTAGAAATTTGATACTAGACTTCCTGTGAGAGCAAAAGTCTCCTTGCCAATCCTTCAAAACATATGCACTTAGGAAAGTCAGGAGGATGGTTTCCAGATAGCATCATAAGAGTAAAAGCCATCTGCCCTCTATCTCCTTAAGGAATGTGCATGTTGCAAAATATAGTCTATTTAATTGTTAGGCAGCTGAACCTATTTATAAATCAAGAATAGAAGAGTGCGTAGGCAGGCTCAGTTTTACTGACAACTAAGAGCATTCGGGATGCAGAATATTAAAGCTAAGAGTTTTAAGCCAGGCATTCTAAATACCAGGAGTACACTGAGTATCTCAGGAGAACAGACTCACTAGGTCAGGATGTCTCAAATGGAGCTGCAAGGTCAATGCTTTTAAAATGTATGCAAACTAAATAAATAAAATGTACACAATGAGTAGGAGCAGCACTAATGTGTTTTAGGTATTTTCTTAAGTAAGCAATTCTAATTGATCTCCGGTAGCATGTGTAAAAGTGTAGTGAGTAGATGTTGTTATCCAGTCATAAGTTGTGTCAACTCTTTGCAACCCCATGGACTGCAAGACGCCAGGCTCCTCTGTCCTTCGCTGTCTCCTGGAGTTTGCTTAAATTCATGTCCATTGAGTCAGTGATGCCATCCAACCATCTCATCCTCTGCCATCCCCTCCTCCTCCTGCCCTCAATCTTTCCCAGCATCAGAGTCTTTTCCAGAGTCGGGTCTTCACATCAAATAGCCAAAGTATTGAAGCTTCAGCTTCAACAACAGTCCTTCCTTTGGCAAGTAAGTAGATGTTCCCACCTAATCATTTCTAACAGCTTGGAGCCAGGCAAAAGAGAGGAAGTAAGAAAATGGGCAGGTACCTTTGCTATCTAAAATATCTTCATATACCTCCAAGGATTTATATCCATCAGGTGCCAGAAAGTTTTCTTCAAGGTCTCACAACATAAAGTAAGAAGTTATAAGCAGTAAAGAAAAAAAAAAAAAAAGGAATAAAGACAATGGGGGGAAAAAAGAAAGAAATTCCTAAATGAAAAGAGGAATGCAAAAAAAAAGAAAAGAGGAATGCAATCACAAGGTTCTTACTGTATATGGACCACAGATGGACAGAGGATCAAGCGTGTGCCAAGCATTGTGCTAGGCCTGCAAGTACAGCAACCATCGTAACAACAGCAACAATAGCACACTCTGAGATAAAGTTTAGGAGGGGTGCTGAGCACAATATCTGTTACCCCACCTAATCTTCACAATAAACCTGTGAGGAACGTTCCTTATTATCCCATTTTTTAGTTAAGGAAACAGGCCAGCTGGATGTTAGATTTCCCACCTCCTAAACTGCAAACATTTTTTTTGCAATGCAAGTATATAATTATTTGAATACACCCCTGCACCCTACTTATACCCTTGCGGTGCATCACTTGCTCCCTGGGGAGCCCCAGCCTGGTACGCAGACAACCTCTTCAGGTCAACCTCCAACTCCATCCTACACTTCAGTTCCCTGAGCCACCATTTTCTTCTTCCATGAAACTGTATCTGTCTGTCAATCTGTCCATCTGCATGTGTTCACACACACATGTTATGTATATGTGAGATATGTATATACGTATATATTTGTATGATATATATATACATATATATTTGTATGATATATTTATATAATAGTATATTATACAATATATAATTATATATCATACAAATATATATTTGTATAATAGAACATTTCCAGCTCCTTCTCAAAGAGTTGTTAACAGTAGTTGGTGTTAGGATATAGAAGTGGAGGAAGGCAGAAGGTTTTGGGCTTCCCAGGTGAAAGTGAAAGTGTTAGTTACTCAGCCCTGTCCAACTCTTTGCAACCCCACAGACTGTAGCCTGCAAGGCCCCTCTGTCCATGGGATTCTCCAGGCAAGATATTGCAGTGGTTTGCCATTCCGTTTTCCAGGGGATCTTCCTGACACAGGGATCAAACCCAGGTCTCCTGCACTGCAGGCAGATTCTTTACCATATGAGCCACCAGGGACGCCCCAGCCAAGCAGGAGACCTGGGTTCAGTCCCTGGGTCGGGAAGATCCCCTGGAGAAGGAAATGGCAGCCCACTCCAGCATTCTTGCCTGGGGAGTCCCATGGACGGAGGAACTGGTGGGCTACAGTCCATGGGGTCTCAAAAGAGCTGGACACAACTGAGTGACTAAACAACAACAGCGAAGGCTTTTATAACTGTCCTTTTCTCCATGAACAAGTATTACTTTCATCATTTAAAAAAGGAAAAGAAAGAAGAGAAATGACAGAGTCATCGTCTCTTTTTGCTTATGTCATAGTGTTTCCTCCCACTGAATACTGGGTACTGTGGTCAGAAGCTTTCCCACTTCCTCCCAAACTTACTCCTCTCTTGGTCCCACTTGCATTTGCTTGTCAGGACAAAAGAATCCATCATCAGTGGGGCTTCAGGCATGTTGGAGGGTAGGGTGGGAGTGAGGATGGGGGATGGTGAAGCCCCCAGAAACACCCCAG